AAGAGTTCTCATATCTGGGATCAAACATTGATCAGAATGGGGACTGAAACCAGGAAGTCAGGAAAAGATTAAGAATGGGGAGGGCAGCTATTAAAGAACTAGAAAAGATCCTAAAATGCAAAGACATACAACTCAGCACAAAAGTCAGAATCATACAAGCCATCATATTTCCTATTACCACGTATGGATGTGAGAGCTGGACAGTCAAGAAAGAAAATAGGAGGAAAATGATGCTGGAGAATAGTGCTGAGGATTCCAGGACAAGCTAGAAATATCCCTAGAAGCCAAGATGACAAGACTTTGACAGTTGTACTTTGGACACATCATGAGAAGGCATGAATTGTTGGAAAAGATAATTAGGGTGGGTTGCAGACTGTCAGAAATAGTGTGAATTCAGTCCACTTTTAGGGTTAGGGTTAAGGTTAGGGAATCATGGGGACTGTATTTTATTGTGGCACTAGAGTTCTCTGACAAAGAAGGTTCAATGTCTCAGAAAAATAACAATTCCCATGATTCCCTAGCACTAACCCTAACCCTAAAAGTGGACTGAATTCACACTATTTTTGACAGTCTGCAACCCCCCAATGTTAGGAAAGGTGGAGGGAAGTAGATAGGGAGGAAGGCCACATGCTAGATGGATGGACTTTATTAGAGAGACCACAAATAAGAGTTTGCAGGAGCTGGGCAGATCAGTAGACAGGGAGGCCTGGAGATGTCTCATCCATAGGGTCTTAGTTTATGTCTTAGTTTATAACCATGTTCTAATCATATACTAAATAAATAAAAAATCATATATCCAGCTACATTTGTTAAAACACTTATAAGAGTAAAACTGATAATAACACGCACACACACTCACATACCCGTAATTTCCATTTGGCCAAAGTGTGCAATATGAGGAATAATTCTTCAATGAAATCCTCTTTAACTATGATTATAAAAAAGCAACTTGATTTAATAATAGCCAAAACAGTTTTACTCCTTGGTGAATGTAAGTGCATATCTGTAAAACATTCAATCTGGACATTTTGGTTTTGTTTTTTTAAGCCTTGTAATCTGCTTTTTCTGGCTAAAAAATGTTGAAAATGAATTATATTACTTACAGATTATCCCTGATCTGTAAGGATACATATCTGTAATATGTCTCTCTGCATTCTTCATTGGTGTACAATGGCCAGAAACATAAGAATGTTCCACTCCCCTCAATCACAGAAATTCAGATTTGTCCCTGACTCCATGGTGTCCACTCTTCATCTGCTTGGTATTTCACTGGGTTTTGTTTTTGTGGACTGCAATCCAGTACTCACTTGCCTAGAAGTAAATCCCATTTAATTCAGTGGGATACACTTCAAAACACGCATGGACTTCATTAAGATATGTGTCTCTGTTATTTTCATACAAGTACAAGATGATGCAATATCATTTATTGATGCTGAAGTATGGATAGTTTATGAGCCACTCTTTCTACCAGAAGTCTTTGGGAGGCAATTAAAATGTCCCAAAACATGTTTGATTTGCCAAGTAAGACAATCTGCAAATCATTCAAGTTGATTTGCACTTGGAAGGAGCTCATCCTAGTTGGATTTTAAACTATTTTACATATTGGTGGAACATGCCATAAAAGAAGCAAATTTCCCATCCAGATCTGCATCCAAAAACATCAATCTTATCTTTCTTACTGTGCAAATAAATAAGGTAAGGATGTTGTCCATTCAACAGATACATACTGGTTGTTTTTCTCCATATACTATAAGCTTAATGCCAAATTGGAGAGAGAAAGTACTTGGGAATTTGTGGTCTTACATCTAAAATCTACATATGATAAACAACTGTGTGCTACTTACTTTGGGGATAAGTAATATTAGGCTTCTGTTATGACTGAAAGCCAAAGTATTTATGGTGTAGATGAAGCTTTTTGTCTTTCTCCCCAATTCTCATCTTAATTCATTGGAAGATAACATGAAGATAAACTTGTCCTCCATCCCCTTCGGGTATTTTTAATTGCCTTGCCCTTTCACTTTTCTTAGAAGATCATATTTCTTCCATTAATTGCATAAAATGAGTGAATGTCATCCCACCTTTAGGACTGAAATACTCCTTCCTGATTAGCTGGTAAATTTTCAACCCCCTCCTTTTTCCTCCCCTGAAAACAACTGAAGGCTGAAAGAGGAAATTGCTTTGCTGGCTAGTAGCCATGCTGAAGCTGAGAACATGTCTTTTAGCAAAGCAAAAGCATCTCTATGAATGGTTTGCTTTTGAAAGACCCAAAGACAATCCTCACAGTCATTCAGTGAAGCTGCTACTAAGACTCTAATGGAAGAAATAGAGACAACTTCCCATGTGTATCTTGGGGTACATCATATGAAACAGAAAGCTGCTTACAGCCAATTAAAGTGCCACAAATCAACCTTCAGAATCTCTCTTTTATTTTACGTTTAAAAAAAATACTTTTGAGGAGGGAGAGGGAGAAGTAGAGGAAGAGGGAGTTTCATGCACCTGCTCATCCAAACAACAATACAGTTTTTTAAAAAAAAAATTATCATGGAAAAAACATAGTTCAATGATGCAAACAAAAGGTCTCAAGTCCTAGACATACCCATTCCCGGGTATTGTCAGTGAGACGGCCCAAGATGGAGAAAGCTATCCTGAAGGCATACTGTAAATCAGACTGCTGAATGGCTAGATGAACAGATAGTCTAACAAGGCTGCCAATATAATGCATTTTGTGCATTATTTCATCAATGTACATATGGGGGGCATCTCCCCTAATATATCTTTTTTGTATTTTTTTAATATTAGGGAACTATGGTATATTGCAACATTTGATATTGGGGAACTACATTACAAAATTCAGTGACCTACAAATTGTTGTTGTGTGTTTTTCCAATTTACGGCAACCCTAAAGCAAAGCTGTCATGGGGCTTTCCTAGCAAGATTTGTTCAGAGGAAGCTTGCCTTTGCCTTCCTCTAAGACTGACAGAGCGTGACCTGCTCAAGGTCCCCAAGTGTTTCCATAGCTAAGCAGGGATTTGAACCCTGGTCTCCAGAGTCATAATTTGACACTCAAACCACTACTCCATGCTGTCTCTGAAACAGCAAATACCAATAGATAACAGTCAATTCTGAAAGAGCATATTTCAGTTGTTTCAGCTAAAATGCAAATGCCTGTTGCATCCATAAGATAGGGAAATGAACAGAGAGATTTTTGTTTTCCACTTCTAAACATTCCAGATTTATAACTTCCAAGAGATGAGGCAGCTGCTTTCTACATTTTCTGGTTTAAAGATTACTTTAAGTGTTGGCCAATGTGTGCTACTTTAAAATGTTTGAATGGCAACTGGGTCTTGAAAATTTCCAGCAGGGCAGTGGAAGTGACCTCAGTTCAATTCATTGAGTAGAATTGGAGCCATATAAAGTATGGCTTCTCTTCATGCCATCCCAGGAATTTCTAGTAAAGCCAGTTCACTAATTTCTACAGTTAAGATAATACAGTAAGACCAATTGGAATGCTTACTTCCCATGACTATGGAAAGGAAGAGGAAAACATTAGTGTAGCTGGTGATCTATAGTGATAGGTAAACAAGAAAGATAGTGGTGATGGCTATAGCAAGAGCAGCCCCAGGTGCTCCTAAATTATGGATTGGTCAGAATACTCAACAGCATTAAAGGTGCCATTCTTCATATCCACTGATTTTAGATCTGATCCTAAACAACAGGGATGACCTGGTAAATGGGATGCAAGTGGAGGGAGCCTTACGTGGGAGTGATCATGTTTTCCTGGAGTTTCTTATACAGTGGAAAGGAGAATCTAGGCATAGTCAGACAGGTCAAGCCAGGTGTGACTACATGTGAAAGGGATCTAGGAGTCCTAGTAGACCACAAGTTGAACATGAGTCAACAGTGTGATTTGGCAGCTAAGAAGGCCAATGCAATTTTAGGCTACATCAATTGAAGTATAGTATCTAGATCAGGGGTAGGCAACCTTTTTGAGCTGGGTACTGGGTTGCTGTCCCTCAGACAATTGGGGGGCCAAAGAACCAAAAATCAATAAATCAATAAATCAATAAATAAATAATTTTAAAAAGTTTAAAAAATTTAAAAAATATGCATGCACACCCTCTCAGCCCCAGAAAAGCCATGGCAAAACCTCTGTGGAGATTTTGCCAAGAAAACCCCAAGAACAAGTAATAACAATAATCAATATCATCATGGCAGGGGGCGGCGGGGGGGGCGGCAGGACCGGCGTGGGGCCGATCCAAAGGCCTCGGGGGGCTGCATCCAGCTCCCGGGCCTTAGGTTGCCTACCCCTGATCTAGATCAAGGGAAGTAAAAGTGCCACTATATTCTGCTTTGGAATACTATATTCTGCCTGGAATACTGTGTCCAATTCTGGGCACCACAATTCAAAAAGGATGTTGAAAAACTAGGGCGTGTCCAGAGGAGGGTGACTAAAACGATGAAGGGTCTAGAAACCATGCCCTTGAGGAACAACTTAGGGAACTGGGTATGTTTAGCCTAGAGAAGAGATGGTTAGGAGGTGATATGATAGCCCTGTTTAAATATTTGAGGGGATGTCATATTGAGGAGGAAGCTAGCTTGTTTTCTGCTATACCAGAGAACAGGACCCAGAACAATGGATGCAAGCTACAGGAAAAGAGATTCCACCTCAACATCAGGAGGAACTTCCTGACAGTGAGAGCTGTTTGACAGTGGAACACACTCCCTCAGAGAGTGGTGGAGTCTTTAGAGGTCTTTAAACAGAGGCTGGATGGCCATCTGTTGGGGATGGTTTGATTTTGAGTTCCTGCATGGCAGAAGGTTGGATTGGATGGCCCTTGTGGTCTCTTCCAACTCTATGATTCTATGATTTTTATTATCTGGTAGCTTTAACAGCCACCATAGTGTAGTGGTTTGAGTGTTGTACTAGGATTCCTGCTCAGGCAAGGAAGCCCACTGGGTGACCTTGTTACACATTCTCAGCCTCAGAGGAAGGCAATGCAAAGTCTTCTCTGAATAAATCTTGCCAAGAAAGCCAAATGATAGTGTCACCATAATTTGTAGTTACTTGAAGGCAAATAACAAGATGGAAGCTATAACAGCACCTTCTGGTGGCCATATATTACTGTGGTGTTGTAGTACAATAGTGATGAAATCACATACTTTTTTTACTACTAAGTTAAACAGTGATATACAGAGTATGACACCTAGTTCCTGCTGCTAGAAACTCTATTTTGAGATCACTAACAATTTCCAGGCCTTCATAGGAAAGTGGTTCACATAGAAGGAACCAGCATGGTGCAGTGGTTAAGAGTATTAGATAGATCTGAGAAGATCCAGGTTCAAAGTCCTACTCATCTATGAAAATTTTATTGTCAGAAATTGAGCCAGTGATATTCTTTCAACCTAACCTACCTCATCCAAGTGATGTGAGAATAATGAACTTCTTGGAGGAAGCTTCTTCACTTCTTGAAAGAAGCGTGCGATGCAAATCAAATTTAATTAACACATCTGAAAATTGACCAGTTCTTGAGACAATGAATCATACCACACCCTCTTCAATAGTGCAGTTGCTGTCACAGCACTAAATATCTATTTGGTGGGTCATCCCAGTCAACAGAAGCAATAATCACTCCTTAAAAAGCACTAGCTGCATCACCCATGAAAGCTGGCATGGGTTATGCAGTGGCCATGCTGACTGGAGGATTCTGGAAGTTATAGTCCAATATAATAACTTTTCTGAGCTCTGGGTATATGTGAGACCTGGCACAGTGAACAAAGTCTTGAGTTCAGTTGTGGGCTACATTCATATTGCAACTATTGGAGAAGGATGTGGCATTCTTGAGGAAATCACATCTTTCAGCCTTTGAGAGCAAAATATTTGGTTGAATGACTTGGAGTAATAGTAAGAGATTATAGGAATGAATAAATACTTAAAATATTGATTTGTTAGGAAGGGTTCCTAAAGAGATGGAAATGGAAAGTCCTGGACAGCAGTTCTTCCACCCTCTGAAAGTCATTGACTATGATTTTTATGAGGTCAGGCTTGTATATGAAATTTATTGCTGGACATTCTCCGAAAGCTAATCCTGGATATATTTGTCCAGATTGTCCTGGCTGAGGGACAAGACAGCAATTTCCTGAGTTAGTCAGTTTCTGGACATCTGGCAACTTTTAGAAGCAGCATATATAAATGGAAACAATCTCCATGTAGGTGCATGTATCTTATATGAGTAAACACATGCAGTCTTAACAGTTGCTTAGAGGCTTAAAAAGAGGGATAGGAAAAGAAAACCACACAAGGATTCCAGATCAGCTACTCTAAGGTTCACATCTATACTGAAGACCATTGAAGAAGTCTTGGTACCTGCATCAGGTTTCTTGGGGACATCACAACCTAAATCTGTAAGAGGAGAGGTTACATTGTTCTCTATACTTAGCTAAATAAACAATATCATATATTAAAACCCAAAGCAACCAGAACTTGTTCTTCTGACACCTGGGAGGGGGAGAATTCTTCATCCCAACAGATTATGTGTCTTTCAAAGATTTAGAGAATAATGTGTTTTCTTGGTATAAAGCATCATAATTGAAAGAAATTAAGCTGAGCAGATGGCTTACCCCCAGGGTTTCCTGATTTGCAGGGATAATACACTGATTGCACCACCAGCTCCCACAGTTGACTAACAACTGATGCACAGTCTGCACACACACACATACACACCCATGAGGATGGACCCACCAAATAGGAGCATTCATTGCTACAAGCCATGCTGCATGATTATTATTTTTCTGTTCCACTGAAAGTACAGGGATATAAATGCACAGATGCTCTGCCAGCAGCTGCCATTCGCCTCCTTCATCCCACCTAGCCATCAACCTATATCACATAACCAGCTGACTAAATCATATGATCAATCAACTACCCATCCAGTGCATTGGTGCATCCAGTGACACATTGGCACGGCACAGTCATGAAGCCTGCCCATACATGTCCCCTTGCACCCCCTTCCCCCCATGGACCCTTGCTGGACTCACCAATTTGTTACTGTATTGATTAAATCCATTGTACTGTCAGTGACCTGATGTGTTTGTCATCATTTTACTTAATGGGATGTGTGATGGGTCAGTGTTGTGTTGGGTTGATGGTGCAGGTTATGCTATCAATTCACAAGCAAGTGACCAAAATAATTATGGACAGCCATGGTGCTGATGGCTTGCCAGCCCATTCTCCATCTCTGCACTAACACACAGTCTGCATGCTGCTGTGATAGTTCTCTCTTTCCATCTTGAACAGCAGCAAACCAGGAGGTTTTTTGCTCTGGTGCTAAGCTCTGGAGTGCAGCTTTGGACCATTTTCTTCCCATTTCAGCCACATGTGTTGTCTAGACAGGTAGAATTCAAAAAGAGGTGGGCCATTTTAGGCCATGAGGACAGTCCCTTTGGAACATTTAGCTAGTGGTGGTGGCTGTCAGACAAATATGTAATGGATTTCTGGCTAAGAAACTGACTGCCCTGAATTTCCCAGGTGTCCCTTTTTTAGTCCTGCTACTGCCATGCCATAGACAGGTTTAGACAAGTCATGTTCTGTCAACCTGATCAAAACTGTGACCTGCTACATGTATAGCATGAGATAATAACTGAAACAAGCCCATGTTTGCCATGGAAACCATGTAGTCCTGATCTAGTCCCAGTGAAGAGCCCTTAACTTTGACATTAAAATTTTCCAGCACAGTATGTTTGGGGAAAATCAACACCACTGCCAATACCACCTCTGCTTGTTTAGGCAACAAGACAATTTGACAGCAGGGTACACAAACAGAATCCCAATCCTGTGTTGTTGCAATGTTACCAGGTATAAACACCCAAATTTTGGAAATTTGATGACCAAGGCTTCTTCGCTAAAGGAGCTCTCTTTCTCTCTATGTGTGACTTCATAACTACAACAGGAAAAGCTCAGCAAAGATCATTTTGATAATTAAACCAGAAAAGGGAAAGGGATTAAATATTGCTCATCTCATGAAAACTTCAAGCATAGTCCAGACATTCCTTCCCCACAATTACAATACAGTTTATGAACAGGGAAGGG